TTAGATGGCCTCTGAGACCGTCCAGGAGCCCTCTTGGACGCATCTTCGGCTGCCCTGTCGGGGATCCAGGCTGGTGGAGATTGGCGACCGCCGCCAACTCGACTGCCGCCCTGAGCACCCAGGCCAGTGTGCAACACGCAGAACAGCCAAGAACAGATTAGATCAGCACGACCCTGGCTAACCTCCGAGTGTTCTGATTATGAAACTAGGACATCCTGGGATTAGTTGGCTAGACCTAGCCTGTGTAGTACCAAGAACCCCTCCAGGACCTACACCAATCGAAAACAATGATCCTGATGGGGCCCTCTGCCGCCGGCCCCAGTGCTCGCGACGTCGCGACACTGAGGAAGATGGTGCTCCTGGTCAATACTCCACTCCACACTCCAGGTCGCACGACCCCGTTCTTCGTGGGGGGTCCAGCGCCGATCCAAGGAATCCGCGCGGACCTCCAATACTCTACGCTTATGTAATTGCTTCTGGTTCGATCCTGAGGACCTAATCACCGAATGTCTGGACGCGCGAAATTGGTACATGAACAACTGTTCGATACCGAATAGCAGCTGTTACCCAAACCCGACAGCGGCCGCTGTTGGGAAGGCGGCTCTTTGTCTCAAATGGACAACGCCCGTGGGGACGCCAACGACGAGTTCTGCTCAGCATGGGCAAGAGTTGCTGTGAATCTTCGATCGTGCCGATCATGGCGGGAGTGCCCTCCCCCCTCGTTGGAACACCTGGGCGCTCGGGACTTCCTCTGTTACGCAGATGTTCTTCGACCCTGAGGACACGCTTGCAGGAGGTTGTGCCGCGGCAACTTCGGCGTTGGTTCTTGACACTGCGCAAACTGCTCAACCTTGAACGAACGACTTCTCGATCACCAGATCGTTCCATATTGGCCGATTCTTGGCCACTGGCGGCGTTCAACCTTGAACGCCCGCACTGGGGTCGTCGCCGCGTCAACACGACGCGAACCAACCGTACCTCATGGCGACTGGACCCCTCCCGTTGCAGCAACGGGGCCCAGCCCCGATCCACGAAATCCGCGGGGACCGCCGAAAGTTTGAGGTTTATGCAGATGTTTCTTCTTCGACCCTCAGGACCCGCTTACTTCACGGCGAGATGAGATGCAACAATGGAGGGGTCCAACTCAGGGGGGAAACATCGACCTGGAATCGGCGATACCTGTACGCGACCACCCTTCGGGTGATAAGGAGGTTCGGGGGGGAACCAACGTCTCACTCGATCGGTCTCACCATCGATCTCACGATCTGCGTGTCTGTGTGTCTGTGTGTCTGTGTGTCTGTGTGTCCGTGTGTCTATGTGTCCGTGTGTCTGTGTGTCTGTCTGTCTGTGTGTCTGCGTGTCTGCGTGTCTGTGTGTCTGTGTGTCTGTGCGTCTGCGTGTCTGTGTGTCTGTGTGTCCGTGTGTGTTTTGTGTCTGTATGGCCGTTTGTTTGTCTGTGTGTGTTTGTCTGTGTGTCCGTGTGTCCGTGCGTCTGTGTGTCTGTGTGTCTGTGTGTCTGTGGGTCTCTGTGTCTGTGTGTCTATGTGCCTGTCTGTCTGTCTGTCTGTCTGTGTGTCTGTGTGTCTGTGTGTCTGCGTGTCTGTGTGTCTGTGTGTCTGTGTGCTTGTGTTTCTGTCTTGCTGTATTTCTGTGTGTCTGTGTGTCTGTGTGGCTGTGTGTCTGTGTGTATGTGCGTCTGTGTGTCTGTGTGTCTGTGTGTCTGTGTGTCTGCGTGTATGTGTGTCTGGGTGTCCGTGTGTCTGTGTGTCTGTGTGTCTCTGTGTCTGTGTGTCAGTTTTTTTTTGGTGGTTTGTTTTGTTTCTGTGGCTGTGTTTCTGTGTGTCAGTGTGTCAGTGCGTCAGTGTGTCTGTGTATATGTTTGTCTGTGTGTCTGTGTGTCTGTGTGGCTTTGTGCCTGCGTGTCTGTGTGTCTTTGTGTCTGCGTGTCTGTGTGTAGGTGTTTCTGCGTGTCTGCGTGTGCCTGTGTGTCTGTGTGTCTGTGTGCCTGTGTGTCTATGTGTCTGAGTGTCTGTGTGTCTGTGTGTCGCGTGCTGTGTGTGTCAGTGTGCTTGAGTGTCTGTGTGTCTGTGTGTTTGTGTATTTGTGTGCCTGTGTGTCTGTGTGTTTGTTTGTTTGTGTGTCAGTGTGCTTGAGTGTCTGTGTGTCTGTGTGTCTGTGTGTCTGTGTGTGTGTCTGTGTGTCCGTGTGTCTGCGTGTATGTGTGTCTGTGTGTCTGTGTGTCTGTGCGCCTGTGTTTCTATCTTTCTGTCTTTCATTGTGTCTGTGTGTCTGTATGTCTGTGTGTCTGTGTGTGAGTGTCCGTGTGTCTGTGTGTCTGTGTGTCTGTGTCTCTGTGGGTCTCTGTGTCTGTGTGTCTGCGTGTCTGTGTGTCTGTGTGTCCCTGTGCCTGTGTGTCTGTTTTTCTGTCTTCCGTTGTGTCCGTGTGTCTGTGTGTCTGTGTACCTGTGTGTCTGGTTGCCTGTCTGTCTGTGTGTTCGTGTGTCAGTGTGTCTGTGTGTCTGTGTTTCTGTGTGTCAGTGTGTGAGTGTGTCAGTGTGTCAGTGTGTCAGTGTGTCTGTACGTCCTTGTGTCTGTGTGTCTGTGTGTCTGTGTGTCTGTGTGTTTTTGTGTGTCTGTGTGTCCGTGTGTGTGTCCGTGTGTCTGCGTGTCCGTGTGTCCGTCTGTCTGTTTGTCTGTGTGTCTGTGTGTCTGTGTGTCTGTGTGTCTGTGTGTTTGTGTGTCTGTGTGTTTTTGTGTTGGTGTGTCTGTGTGTCTGTGTGTCTGTGTGTCTGTGTGTCCGTGTGTCCGTGTGTCTGTGTGTCTGTGTGTCTGTGTGCCTGTGTGTCTGTGTGTCTGTGTGTCCGTGTGTCTGTGTGGCTGTGTGTCTGTGTGTCTGTGCGTCTGTGTGTCTGTGTGTCTGTGTGTCTGTGTGTCCGTGTGTCTGTGTGTCTGTGTGTCCGTGTGTCCGTGTGTCTGTGTGTCTGTGTGTCTGTGTGTCCGTGTGTCCGTGTCTGTGTGTCTGTATGTCTGTGTGTTTGTGTGTCCGTGTGTCGTGTGTCTGAGTGTCTGCGTGTCTGTGTGTCTGTGTGTCTGTGTGTCTGGTTGTCTGTGTGTCAGTGTATCCTTCTGTATGCGTGTCTGTGTGTCTTTGTGTCTGCGTGTCTGTATGTCTGTGTGTCTGTGTGTCTGTGTGTCTGTCTGTGTGTCTGTCTGTCTGTGCGTCTGTGTGTTTCTGTCTGTCTGTCTGGCTGTCAGTCTGTCTGTCTGTGTGTCTGCCTGTCTGTGTGTCTGCGTGTCTGTGTGTCTGTCTATCTGTCTGTCTGTCTGTCTGTCTGTCTGTGTCTGTCTGTCTGTCTGTCTGTCTGTCTGTCTGTCTGTCTGTCTGTCTGTCTGTCTGTCTGTCTGTTCGTCTGTCTGTCTGTCTGTCTGTCTGTCTGTCAGTCTGTGCGCGTGTGTGTGCGTGTGTGTGTGTCAGTGTGTGTGTGTGTGCGCGCGCGGCGCTGGCAGCCCCGCGCTGCCCCGTGCCTTCTCGGGCGCTCCGCGAGGGCGGAGTGGTTGGAGTGGAGGGAGGGCCGGCCCCCAAATGGGGCGGCGCCTCCCCCTCCGGAGCGCCGGAAGGGGGTGTGGTGGGTGGGGGGGGCTCTGCCTGCCTGTCTGCTTTTCTGTGTGTGTCTATGTGTCTATGTGTCTGTATATATGTGTGTCTGTGTGTGTGTTTTGTTTTGTTGTCTTTCTTCTTATTTCCTTTTTATTTTCCTTATTTTCTTCTTCTTCCCAACCATCCTGTGGTGTTGGGTCCTCGTTTTGAAGAGACGGTGCCCCGCGTTCCTCCTCCCGCTGCCCCCTCCCCCCTCCTCCCATTATTATCATCACCATCCTCATCATGCTCATCATCATGACTATCGTCATCATCATCATCCACATCGTGGTTGTCGGTCATCATCATCACCATCATCATCACCATCATCATCATCATCATCATCATCATCATCATCATCATCATCATCATCATCATCATCATCGGCACACCCCTCACACGTTTCGTGGCCCCATAGGGAGCTCCACCGAAGGCCCAAATGGCTGCGTCCGCATGCCGCCGCCGCCCAATTTTGGCACACCCCTCACACGTTTGGCGTGGCCCCATAGGGAGCTCCATCTGAAGGCCCAAATGGCTGCGTCCGCATGCCGCCGCCACCCAATTTTGGCACACCCCTCACACGTTTCGTGGCCCCATAGGGAGCTCCATCTAAGGCCCAAATGGCTGCGTCCGCATGCCGCCGCCACCCAATTTTGGCACACCCCTCACACGTTTCGTGGCCCCATAGGGAGCTCCATCTAAGGCCCAAATGGCTGCGTCCGCATGCCGCCGCCGCCCAATTTTGGCACACCCCTCGCACGTTTCGTGGCCCCATAGGGAGCTCCATCTAAGGCCCAAATGGCTGCGTCCGCATGCCGCCGCCACCCCATATTTGGCACACCCCTTACACGCTTCGTGGCCCCATGGGGAGCTCCACCGAAGGCCCAAATTGCTGCGTCCGCATGCCGCCGCCACCCAATGTTGGCACACCCCTCACACGTTTCGTGGCCCCATAGGGAGCTCCATTTAAGGCCCAAATGGCTGCGTTCGCATGCCGCCGCCACCCCATTTTGGCACACCCCTCACACGACGCGTGGCCCCACAGGGAGCTCCACCGAAGGCCCAAATGGCTGCGTTCGCATGCCGCCGCCACCCCATTTCGGCACACCCTTCACACGTTTCGTGGCCCCATAGGGAGCTCCACCGAAGGCCCCAGTGGCAGACCTCGCATGCCGCCCGCCACGACGACAGCCTCACGGGGGACCTCACGGGCCCGCTGGTGTTCATCGAGCCCCGCACGTCGGAGCCGTTCACCTTCCGCGCCTCCAAGGTCACCCGGACGGGCTTCCCGTTTTCACACAGCAGGGTCATCACCACGGTGGCGTGCCAGGGGCGCACCATGCCGTGTAAAAGTGCTCAGATTCAAAGCAGACAGCTTCTCAGAGCATATCTAGAAAAAACATCATATTTGCATGTC